ATTTTGAGGCATGGCCTGTGGTGTAATATGTGTTTGTCAGCACAACCCCTGAGGCAGATTGCAGGTCTAAAGTGATGGAGTAATAATTGTTGTTAATATTAATCATTTAATAGAATAAAAATAAATTCTGATTTCTACAAAACCTGGGTTTTTGCTACTTACAGTTTCAATTCTAGGTTCGTTCATCTGCAGTTTATAGATTCCTGTGTCATTAATAAAATGGTAGGTGACTGGTGGTAGCACTTGGGAAGTATACTGCCCCTCCTAAGTCCCTGCCAAAATTTTAATTGCTAAATGGCTCCTCCCTGCTGCCCCTCTGGGTGGGTCCTCCCTACACCCCATACTCCGCAGGCGCCGGTTGTCCCTGCAGAAGAGTCCATAATCCGCAGCTATATGACTTAAACATGCTACTGGGGTCTAGCCCCAGGTGGGACTCTTTTTTATAATGAAATTTGGAACTCTTCACACCAGGTTCATTGAGGAGTTCACCCATGTTTGTGAGCCAGTGTCCATTTTGATATCATAATAGGCAACTTCTCTGGCCCCTGTCTCTTGCTTACATTGAAATGAGAAAAGCCACAGGCAGCAGGGGACCTGTGATGTACTGGAATTGTAATTACTGGATCTTCATTCTGGCCCCCCAAAATCTATGGCGTGTTAGCACAGCAGGCCTCTCCCTGGTGAAGTTGTGAATCAGAATGGGACTTTGTTCTGGAGTACCGCCATAGTCTCCCTTGCTTGATTACTTGCGTCACATGCCCAAAGAGAGAGTTCTGTGCAGTGCAGGCAATCAGGACTGAAAGCAAATGGGTGCAAAATAACACTGAATTTCACATGCTTTTATTTGAGTCAATTTTGGGGACAAAAAGAAAAAGGGTTAAAATGTTGTCCTTCAATTTTGAGACAACATGTAGCAAAAATAGAACTCATTTTATTCCAGACATCGTTGTACTAAAGCCTGTAAATGATTCCAGCCATGTTCATATTGAGATCTTATTTCAATCCAGGCTTTGTGCTATTAAATTTCAGACTTTCGTTCTTTGTGCTTCATGGCCAGATCTTCAAATGATTTGCACCAAGCTGAGGAGCAGGTGCCTAATACACCTTCAGCGATGATACAGCGTTCCTAAAGTTCAGGTTTATGCTAACGTGCATTTACATCCTCTAGGTCAGTGCTCACTGGGTGAATATTCCTCTGATGGCTTCAGGCCCTGTCTGCTATGTCCCTTTGGAACATACCAGCCGGAAGCGGGCCGGACATTCTGCTTTCCATGTGGAGGAGGCCTTACAACGAAATACAGCCGTGCCTCGATGTTTCAGGACTGCGAGATGAAAGGTAAGATCAAGAAGAGATGAAGAGAACTTCAGTGCACTGCTTTAAGAGACAAAACAGTCCCTCTTGTGAGAAACCCTAAAGTTTCAGAGGGCAAAATATATCCCTTCTTCAAAGCTATTGTGTCCCTGCATTCTTGCACTTGAGTGTCATGCCCCTGGCTCAAGTCATGTGGGAACTCTTACAGCTCAAGTTTATTGGCAATTTGGGACCGCAGGATAGTCTGGCAGATACCTAGAACTTGGTTCATGATGTGTCACCGTGATCTCTGAAGACAGATAAAAAAGAGCACAGGAAAACCCAGGTAGTATTCTCAAGGGCCAAGGAGAGCTGACCATCTCTGAGTGATGGCAAGATGGTCCCATCAGTACCAGGGTGGAAGCATGCAGAAAGGGAATCATGCCATCAGAGCAGCATCACCTCACAGAAGCAAAGTGCCCTAGACCAGGGGTTCCCAAACTTTTTGACACATGGACCAGTAAATCCATTCACAAACTTTTGGAGGACTGGTAACATTCATTTGCATATTTGCATATTCATTAATCAAAGGATGAATATTCAAATAGGTTGTTTCTGGTCCTCCCAAAGCCCCCAGTGCCAGCTTTAGCAAAGCTTTTGATATGGTCACCCACAATATTCTTGCCAGCAAGTTAAGGGACTATGGATTGGATAAATGGAGTGTAAGACAGACAGAAAGCTGGTTAGACCAGGGTTTCCCAAACTTTTTACTTTAGTTGAAACCCTTTTTTTTCCGTACTGTTTTTTAAAGCCCAAAAATATAAACACATAAAAAACAAACAGAGAAAATACCAGACATATAACATGTCTGGTATTTTCTCATTAGGTAAGTTGTATTATTACTAGATGTATCAGTTTGTAGTTTCGAACTGCCTGGCTGGTAAATGTGCTCAGACTGCATGAGTGTGTCTACCAGCCAGACAGTTCGCAACTACTCGAGGAGGTGTGTGGTGGGGTGGGGGGCACAATAGAATTCCTGGGCCAGACTCACTCATGCTTTGCGGGGGGAAGGGGGGAGAAGATTAGGTAAGTTGTATTATTACTAGATGTATCAGTTTGTAGTTTCGAACTGCCTGGCTGGTAAATGTGCTCAGACTGCATGAGTGTGTCTACCAGCCAGACAGTTCGCAACTACTCGAGGAGGTGTGTGGTGGGGTGGGGGGCACAATAGAATTCCTGGGCCAGACTCACTCATGCTTTGCGGGGGGAAGGGGGGAGAAGGGCCCAGCACCCTGAGATCCACATATGGTCAGGTCAGTCCCACTCCCTGCTGGCCGATTCGCTCCCCCCGCTGCGCCTCCGGCCCACCCC